ACGGTTATTACCTGTAGGGCTTCCTCCTGAGATGAGATGCAAGGGCGGGATGAAGCCTTTCCTGAGATACGGACATGCGTCACGCATAACTGAGTGCTTTTGCATTCTCCTTATATATTTTCTTTTTCTTTAAACATCTTTCTTTTAATGATTTCTTTTGATTTTCGTTACTATTATTCTGCTGCGTGAAGCTTGCTGGGATGCAGACCCTCCATTCCAGTTTTTCAGAGCCGCCACTGATGCACACACACACACACACACACACACACACACACACACACACACACACACACACACACACACACACACACACACACACACACACACACACACACACACACACACACACCACACACACACACACACACACATACATGTGTGTGTGCTTCAATGTTATGAAACCAACCTATTTATACGATTATGCATATACACATTAATTTTGCTACTTGATACTATCTACTTCATGTGCTTACCTTCAGCTTCATTGTTTTATTCGGACAACAGTGAATGCGAGATATAAATGAGTTCTATTAAAAAAAATTTTCTACATGCCTTGAAGTGAAACAATAGTGATCATAATGAAATGAAAGCAGTAGGTATCTAGGAAACAGCTGATATAACATGGTTACACTTGCATTTTATATTTTACAATTGATAATAAGATAATCATTAAATATGAACGAAATAGTCACTCAGTGACACTGACTGAATCATTCAAGCTTATAAGGATTCATTACCTAAGATTCGATCCTTTAAGGAAACTTCTATAAACGATCTCTTTTCTGATCTACAACCTAAGCTTTTTCAACCTGACAAAAAATGTTTCTGTCAGAACTTTTCGCATTTCCCCAATTCCATCAAAAGTTCCATCGTTCTCGGGGAATCTAAATGTTTTGAACGGATGCAGGTTTGTCCAAAGAAATTTTTTCGTGGACTCAAAATAGTGGTAGCTTCTTTTTACCCTCGGAACGTTTCTTGTTTATATGTATGTTCATCAAAATCTTGTTATTCATATCAGGATGGCAATAATATTTATTGTCACGAAGTGTTGATGTGGCAAAGATCCATGATTGGGTAATAAAAATGCTTCTTGAATGAGTCTACTAGCCATGTGGTGTAAATGTTTAGGTGAATGAAACGAGTAAAAACGTGCACGGTACACGCCACGCTTAGTGCGCACACACATTTGTCAAACAGAAAACAACAACAGATTCATTAACATCCCCGTCCCCACATGCGAATGATTCAACATCGGTGGCAATACGCGAAACAATATGGTCGCAAAGCCGATGTGTAAGCCCCGATAACGCTGAACCTTATCATGGCCAGCAGTTCATTTCTTTCCACGATGTTGTGCACAGCTCTCACCTGACGCTGCGCTAAAAGGCCTAGTCTATTTTTGTAGTTATGGAAGAGAGAAGAGGACAGCTAGATGGCCAGGTGAGTGAGAAATCCTAGGCGTGTGTAGAAGCGTGGAGGAATTTTTTTTGGAAGAATAACAATGTCATGTCATACGAAGGCAAGGAGACACACGGTCTGTCCTGATCGATACGGCCCGCGTTCGAATGCCTGGCCCGTCATGTGGCTTTAGCGGGGAAAGTGTTTTCTTTAAGGGTTTTTAAGGAAATTTTATATCGGATTTATTCAGGAAAGAGAATATTTTTGAATTCTCAAGGATTTTTTCACTGATACGTTCAAGGATATTTAGGAAAAATATTGAAAATAGTGGACATAAAACAGCCAAACCGAGGCTCATATTGCAACGAAGACGTCTACAGGGAAAACATGCTGTCTTCATTGTGTTTCTTGTGATCTCTGAATTATAGAATATCTTCATTACCCTGCTTTTATAAACACGAAATTTCCATGCAAGACAGCATTGTTTAAACCTTTTTGTTGTTCTCGTACATGTTAAAAGAGATGACAGGCAAGGAATTGCGACTTAAAAAGACGGTTTTAGTTAATAATGCAAGGTTTCCAAACTTGTCCTATGTAGGTCAAGGCAGAAAAAAAACGTTTTATGGAGCAAACAGATGCAATGCCACACTCTTCTACAGTGTGTTCCCCAGGATTTTATGCCAGGAATGTCTATGTATATAAATGTGGTTGAATGTCTGATAACTAAAGAGAAAGTGTGTGTGTGTGTGTGTGTGTGTGTGTGTGTGTGTGTGTGTGTGTGTGTGTGTGTGTGTGTGGTGTGTGTGTGTGTGTGTGTGTGTGTGTGTGTGTGTGTAAACGAGGAAAAAAGTAACAATCAACTTTAGCAGTACAATTGATAAAAGAAGGGACTCGATGATGCTAATGTAATAAAAGTAGATGCATTAAGAACTACTAAATTACTAAATAATAATAATGATACTACTAACATGATATTATTATTATTATTATCATTATTATTATCATTATCATCATCATCATTATTATCATTATTATTATATTCATTGTTATTGTTATTAGTATTGTTATTATTGTTATTATTATCATTATTATTGTTGCTATTATTGTCATTATTGCTTTATATATTATTTTTTTTGTTACTGTTATTATTATTATTATGTTTATTAATATTGTAGTTAATGTATGTTATTATTTTTTTCTATTGTTGCTTTTTATTGTTATTGTTATTATTATTGTCATTGTTCTTTATTATTTCTATTACTGTTACTACTACAACTACTGCTACCACTAATATCAATATTATTATGATCATTATTGTTACTATTGTTATTATCATTATTATTGTTATCAACGTTATTATTATTATAACTATTATTAATTAATTATTACTATTATGACTTTATTTTTATCATTATTATAAAGGTGATGATAATGATTATTATTGGTATTATTATTATTATCACCATCGTCATCATCATCATCATCATCATCATCATCATCATCATCATCATCATCATCATCATCATCATCATCATCATAGCATCCTCATCACCACCATCATCACCACCATTACCATCATCATCACTGTTATCATCATCATTACCATCCTCACCACCATTACCATCCTCACCATCATTACCATCATCATCATCATCATCATCATCATCATCATCATCATCATCATCATCATCATCATCATCATCATCATCATCATCATCATCATCATCATCGTCACCATCACGTAAATACGTAGATTACGTAAATTTCTATCGGCAGAATGATATCAAAGATAACATTATTTCGAAATG